ATTACATGAAATCAAAGGGTCCTACGAACTTCTTGAAGGATCGGCGAAAGATTTCATTCTTCTCTCACGATAGTATGAGAAACCTTTCTCTGTTTTGTAGCCAATGTACTTGAGTCTTTTATCGTTTCCTTAATTTACAAGTTTACAACTCTGCAGTATAACCAATGTACATAAAAATTACGCACTTGTACGGATTAAAGAACACTACAGATGAATATAATCCAAGATTAAAAAAATAATAACAAATGTTTTGCCTTTCTTGCTTGATTCTTGGGCTTCTATTCAGCTTGCTAGATTCTGAGAAATAAGATGCTTATGTGTTGATAGAACTGAGACCCTATCACTCAAAACCGAGACTATCATTCTAAACCAGCAAAGTTAAAATACATATTATATACCTAAAAATATCAATTATATTTAGTTTTAAAATAATCAAATATCATAGAATACTATCTATAAATCAAATCACTCGGAAGCCTGATTTATCCAAATATTATTTAACCTGAAATACTTCAAATTGTAGGAATTATCCAATATTTTTATCCGAACAACCCAAATTACTTAATATTTAATTTTAAATTTTTATTATAGCAATTATTTTGATTTTTTTTTGTATTAAATTTTATAAATGATACACATATTAGAATTATTATTTTGTGCTTTAAATTGAAACATGAATTCCATTTTAATCTAACACATTTGGTGTTTAGACTTACAATTTTAATTCCAAAAAATGATTAATAAAACTAACACACCAAATATGGGGAATGTAACTCATCCAGTATTTTATCTGAAAATCCCATATCACTTTATATTTTAATATAAAAATCTAAATCATTTGAAAGATTTATCCTAACTAACCGAAAATCAAAACTGATATAACTGTTACATATCTTATTTCTGTAAGAGAATAATAAAAGTACCATCAGGTTTAAGATTCTAAAGTTCATCGTGCCTGCCATCCCACTTGTATGCTAATCATCCAAAGACGGGCCAACTGGAGGAAGTCCAGCATTCCTTGTTTGTCTCTTTTTATCCAACCAGTCATTTTCGTTATGGAATTGTGAATTCAAATTTGCAAGAAACTTATACCTTGTGTCTACAATCAGGGGTCCTTGGATCCTCAACCATAACACTAAACTCCTTACTCTTTGTGAGCTTCATCAGTGCATTTTATTTTGTGCCAGAAACATAATCGTAACGTGGACATAAAGTGAGATGAGTATCCACACGGTTCTCTGTTGAAGTGCCATATCTGGTCAATAAAGCAACGTGATGTAAAGTGGTGTTCGCTCCGCTATGTTCCATGTCAGATGGAAGCATGACAGATCATCCCTTTCAATGATACTCCTCAGCCAGTTTCCGAAAATAAGACTATTTTTTGGGATCATGATTCTCTGCATTCAAACTAACCTCGCCACCATCATGCTGATATGCATTGACGCATGGTGGCATCTCCTCGGAAAGGAAGTCATGAGGGAACCGATCAACTTCACTTTAAACAAAGCACTTCGAGACTAAAACTTTGGTTCTGGACCAATAAGGGTCATTTTTGATGGGTTTCAAGCCTCCCAAAAATGGATCGGACGATAGCATAACTGGGTCTCGTGAGGACCTCGTGAGATATCTATGAAAAGTATAACTTCGTGAGCATAGGCGGTGAAGACATCTATGTCTTCAGATAGTTCCGCAAGAGCACCAAGCAGGCTTAATAACTCAAAAAGTCTCCTACAAACTGAATTTAAGGAATAAGAGCAATTACAATCCACAAGTAGAATCCCTCAGGCTAACCAAAAGAGAGTCCATCACGTACTTGTAATCATGGAAAAATGAAAGCAGCCAAAATAGATATGCGGAAAAGCCTAGTGAGCAAGACATAATTAGGAACATCACCATACCAGCTGCAGTGTTACTGACATCATGTACCCGATGACATCCCCCATGTTGATGAAAGTACAAAAACCACAATCAAGTATCAAAGGTGCATCAAGATGAAAAAGGATACCTTGCAATGGTAGGATGATCTTTGTAAGGCTTGGTTCGCTGAAAGTAGTCCTCTTTTGGTGCTTGACAGAAGTAATATGCCGTCAAAAAGTTCATGTATTCATGGATGTGAAAAAAATGATTGGAAATACTGGTAATCATCTTGTATGGTAATCATTTTCTGCAAAAAAGTACAAAAAAATGGATTCTCAAAATTGACGACAAACAGTTACTTGTGAGTTGAAAACAATGGAAACAGTCGCAAAATCACCTCACTAAGAGTTTAAGAGAGCCAACCTGACTATAACTTGCGGAAACTTCTCTTGATCTGAAGCATTTCTCTGTATGTGTCTTCATTCCCATGATGCACCTCAGATGTGTGACACTTGGCCTTCAGGAACCATTTTTGGTGGGTTTTGCATAAACTTTTTTAGCTCGCTTGGCCAGACCCTAGTCCTCTTCTAGCTTGGCGTACTGAAGGTATAAGGTCATGTCAGTATCTGATGGAGCCTGAAAGAATTATAAGAGAAGTTAGATCAAGAATAAATCGATAGACTACACAAAACAGCCCTTTAACCAGGAAGATTGTGTACTAAGATAGATTAGATTACCATTGAAACACCATATTAAAACAAACTAAACTCTCGCCCGCTCCAGCTTTATCTTCCCTGCATCAGCCAACCTTTGTAAGATAAGTTACCCATATGTCTTTCACATAAGGGCATTCTCATTTTTTGATACCACTTTCATACACCTTAAGAGCATATTTGAAATAGTTATCTTCCTCAAGTAGAAAGGCATAATTCAAGATGATCTGAGGCCTTGCTATCCAGAAATGCACGGGAGAAGATGTACAAAGAAGACTTGTGTTTTGTTAGAATCAACTTTTTCTCGTATCATTTCCATACGCATGTTCTCTTCATCTTCATTCTCACTTTTGCTCTTCTTGAAAGTAACCTACCTCAGCAGTAACAATCCAAGCTTAGTCATGGAACCAAATAGACAACTGACCGGTGAAAAGACTGTTTTTATAAAGAAAAAAAGAAGCTTAACCACCAATAGTTTTCTTAGATCCACCATTTAATGACCCATGAACACGAATATGCCCGCATCCCTCCATTTCGCCATAATAAAATATGTAATTCTCAAGAAATCTGGATCCATATTTTTCAATCAGAATCTAATAAAAATGAAGATACATTACATAAATTCACTTAGCCCACATACATAAAAGACATCTAACAAAAATAAGATGAAACTGATGCATTTCATTGCTAGATACACTCTTGATGCATTTCATTGCTTCATTTGTAAACAAACCGTTTTACAGAAGCTAATGAAAGGCTTGAAAATGTCCCACATATTGTATCACATAAAACCGATACGATGTCTAGTGAAATTTGTGAATACCTCTTTAAATTAAGGACTGAACAATCACAATTGTTCTCTTTTTTTTTCAACTCCTACATTCTAATGACGCTGTTGTGAATAACACATGTTCATACGGTGTTATGCCTCTCTATATTCTTAGATGTTATGATTTGCATATGGAGTTTGTGGAACTTTTATTGGAACATGGAAACAATTTGGAGGCTCTCAGCTCCATGTTACTTGTTGAAACGGTAACTCTCATTGCCTTGAAATTCTTTTGGAAAATGGAGCGGAAGCAAATTATTTTCCTATGGAGCAACAAACTCCTCTTCATTGTGCTTGCTATGAAGGGATGAAGCAACAGTGTAGGTTGGTTGATTATCTTATAAGTGTGTGGATCTTATATATATTATGTTACTTAAATCATTTTGGTCGTAGCTGCTTCTCGAACATGGAGCAAAACTTGAAACTCTACATGAGAACGAAATGAATCCACTGAATTGTGCACAATTCATGTACGTAGCCGTAACATTAGAAACTGTGCAGGTCAAAATACTGTGATCTTTTTCTGACAATTGTTTTCTAGGATAAAGAGATTTAGGTTTAAGATTTCACTTATTAATTCACGTAAAAGGGTAAACCATACATATAAGTGTTTGCACTAAACCAAAACATATAAACCGAAATTGATATATGCAATTACTAAAGCATTTTCAAATACTAAACCGGATTGGTAAAAGATAATGCTTTGGACAACTGTTGCTTAATCCCCTATGAGAACTCTTGAACTCCAGCCAGTGCTTGTAGAACAAGAACATCCCTTTGAAGAGTTGCAACCTGAGACTGGAGTTCCTAGTATAGCTGGCAAGTTGGTGAAGATAACGAGCTTATCACTCCAAAACCCATGTTTCTTGAAGACTTTGGTCACATCGAAGAGGAAGAGGTATATTTTCTGGTATTTCGATTTTGGTAATACATATATTTTGGGGTATTTGGCATTACATCATTGATTTTAATAGTATACAAGATTTTGATCCGTGTTTTTAAAGCGCAGATTTAATTTTGGATTAAAAACTATTAACTGGTATTATTAAGTATCATTTTTTGAATTTTGATCTACATATTTTGTTAAAATAATAATATATGTGTCCTTATTTTTATTTAGTATTTTTATACCCAATCTAGATCCACGGTTGAATTGGCAAACCCGCTTATCTGTATATAATCGGATTCAGATAATGAAAAATTCAAATTAAAAATTTGGTAAAACCCAACAAGAATCTAAAAACCGTTATTAATTCATGATCTACTATCGTTTGACCTAGTAAAAAATCTAGCGAAATATGATAATGTTTCTAAAAAAATTGATGAAATGTTTTATATATACTTTACAATATTACATAAAATTAAATAAAATATTACATTTGTGATTTTTAGACCTTAATGAATTTTTACTATTAGAAAAAAAAAATGAAACTAGAGAATTGTTTATATGCGAGTATTAGTTTATTTTTGTTATTTATATTGATTGAGGAGATTGTATAAGACTACTTATATTAATAGGATAATTTGTAAAATGAATTGTATATTAAATTATTTACCTATATTTATTAATTGATATACCAAAATTATTTACCAATACAAAATTACACACCAGTAAGCATAAACTTTGATTAAAAAACAAAAACCAAAGTCAGAGCAAACCAATAGGATACGTTTAACCTAACTGTCATGTTACTATCAAAACATTACACCAAGCTATATAATGATTCGTTAAGTACACAGAGAGAGATAAGAAGAAAAAAAACACATAGGAATTTTCAGGCAAAATACAACACATTTTTTTATACAACAGTCAATCTTCCTTGAGACTCTTCCGGGAAGGAGTCGTCTTGAGAGTCAAGCCAAGATCTTTGCACAACTCTTCATCCGGCTGCAAGCTTCCAGGGATTGCACCAAACGCTGTTCTTGAAGTTTCATACCCAGACGCCAAGAAATGTATATACGCAGACATGTCCTCCAAGTTTTTCCCCACACTTATAGAAGATGACGCAAACAGACTTCTCTTTGACAAGTTCGAGTCAGCTCTTGATAACCTGTTAAGATCTGAGGCACTTATAAACCTTTGCGTAGCAGCTTCCCATGATAATTCATGCCTCTGTTGCTCTGTTAGCTGCGATGGTTGTTCCCCAAGTGCCTTGAGTGTGGCTCTAACAAAACCTTTACCATCGTCGTAGACTCTGCAGTTGGGAAACTGTTTGAAGAACTCGTTTGATGTGTGGTCTGCGCATACTACTATTTTCCCCATCGCCAAGGCTTCTGCAGTTGTTGTGCAGACCACGTCTGTTGTGCTGGGGTTGAGAAACACTTTATAGCTGAAACAAAAGATATAGATAGTTAATAATCTATGTTACAAGTATGATGCATAGTTGAGGTTATGAAACTAGCGACGTACTCGTGAAATAGTGGGTCGGCGTGATCACGTCCTGGGTAAACATTGACCGTCAGATCGAGTTTTCGGGCTGCTTCTTTGATCTCTTCAGAGTCCTCTCCACTACCGTATAAATCAACCTCTAACCCAGCAAGTTCCTTTTGGTGTTTCTTAAGTAGTTTAAGAAGCTCCTTGTACCCTTTGCTCCAGACCATCTTACCAATGTAGTATACCCCTTTGGTGAAGGCCTGCTCATGGAGCTTCTGCTGTTCTAGTTTTTTCAAACCAATCTCTAGAAATTTAGGGTTGACACCGTGAACGTTGCAGACAATAGATTTAGGGTATTCTTGAGTGGCATCCGATAATCTAATCACCTGCATCATTAGTACAAGTCCTGATTCGCATCAAAATGGCCGATTAGCAAACTATCTTGATCTTAAAACTAAATTCAGACACTTGACAACCATTACTTAGATACCAAATATATCATGGTTCTACTAGTAGCTGCAAAGAAGGTTTACCTTGTGGCAGTAAATGCCAACAACCCAACTGTTTAAATACTTGAGGAGAAATGCTTTGAGACGGCCTTGTTTCTCTCTCTTTACGTATTCCAAGTAGTTTGTGTGCACTATCCCTATGACGTAGTTAAACTTCGTTTTCCATTTTTTGCCATGATGAAACCATGTGAGATGCTCAGGCTCCTCAAGGACGGCAATGTCTGCCTCTTCATCAGGAATGGCATCTGATATGTCCCCAACAGGAAGAATACTTCTTTTGTCTGTAGCAAACTGCAATAAGATAATTTGAATTACTACATAAAGTTACTGTTCAAAAAATCGGCAAAGTAAAGAGAGACAGAAGCATTATTTACAATGGCACTAAGAATTCACATGCAAAAAGAGAGAAAAATTCAAATTCATTGCAGAATATCGAAACATATACAGCACGTTCGCAACCCCATCAGCATGCAAGTATAAGTAAGAAGACATCATGTAGATGCAAGTTCATGTAAATGACACAAAGACATGACAGATAGAGTAAGTCCAAAGGGTAAACTAAACTATCCATCTCCATCAAAGGTCGTAGAGTCAGAGCCAAAAAAAGGATCCTTATATAATATGAGCAAAAGCATAGCTGTATCCGCACAAATACACAGTTTCACATACATATGCTGGAAAGATCACATACCCTATTCACAAAAGGTACACATAAAGGTGAGCTCAAGAAAGATAACATGTATACGCAGAATGAGAATTGATGATGAACAATGTTGTAATGATTAGGGCAAAGTAAACTGGAAAAATATGAAGAACTTCTGAAGAAGTTAATTTTACATAAAACGAGAACATGAATACAAGGACGAACTAAAGAGATGTTTCTTGACAAAGGGCAGAAAAAAGATCATCTCATTAGAGATTAACAAGAAAGAAAAGGCCGAATGTGCAAAAGCCTAAACAAGCGTATTCATGTAAATTACACAAAGACAAAACAGACAGAGAGAGAGCACACAGTAAAAGAAATTGTGTATATCCATGGAAAGCTAGAGACTAAAAAGGGATCCTTATATATTTAAATATATGAGCAAAACCTAGACAAATGCGCATACATTCACAGTTTCACATACATACCATATTCACAGAATGTACACATAAAGGTGAGATCAAGAAAGTGATAACACAAGGAGTAGTAGAAGGAGTGATACCTTTGCTGGATAGAAACGAATCTCAAAGGCTAAAGGGAAAGAGACTCTGTCCTCAAGCCAACGACGAACATAAGCTTCTTGGTGGGAAGGGGAAGCGAAGGTGAGGTTATTAGGGTAGACAAGCTTTTGGTGGTTGAGAGTGAGCCAAGGAATGACCAAAGTGACCCTTCTTTGACCGTCTTTAGCAAGGTAAGCAACACGGAAGAGAGGATTAACAGCAGTTCCCGTAAGCCACGGAAGACTTGCTGTTGTAAATATCGCAATGTGCTGTTTCTGCTGCTGCTGTTTCGTCATATATATCCTCCTCAGCTAAAACAAAATTAAATATAAACACTATTAACTTAGATATATCCAAAATCAAACAAGATACAGCTACAACATGTTACAGCATTGAATCTAAGCTAAGGGAAGATTCTTTTAATTTTAATCTGTTTCCTGTGAATTTCAAATAAATTCAATCTACAGAGTCCTCTTTCAAATAAGATAACAAAACATTCACATACGAGAAACAATTTAAATTAAATATAAACCCTATTACTTAGATATCCTAATTCAAAAATCTTCTAACAAGATACAGCTACGAACTTGTGATTACAGTATTGAATCTAAAGCTAAGGAAAGACTCTTTAAATTTAAATCTGGTTCCTGTGAATTTGAATTAAAATTATTCACCTAAAGTTTTCCAATAACATAACCAAACATTCACATACGAGAAACAGTAAAATCAAACATCAACAAAGTTTATCAGAAGAAACTCTAATTTTGAATCGAAACCATTCGATACCTGGAGAGAATTTGAAATCAAAGAAGAGGATGAATCTGTGGGTTTTGATAAAAGGAAGCACGATGATCTAGAAAAGCTGAAATTTGGGGGAAATAATAATAAATAGTATATATTCTTAGGGTTTGCGTGACAAGAGGAGAATATTCTACGGAGGTATTCGTGTCTTCGTTGGTTTTTCAGGTCATTCTTTATATATTCCAGCCTGGTCGTAGATTTGTCCAATCTCTTTCTTTTCTACTTTTTTCCGCCAATGTCCAAGAAAAGACGAAGAAGAATAAGAATCAATGGACTTGCGTGTTCTGTTCTCAGACTACGTGCCGTTTCCTTAACGTCTGTCTATACATCGTCAAGTTTCACTCATGTTAAAACCGGCGGGCTTTAAGAGTGTTATAAGAGGCCCAATCCTTTATGGGCCGGAACCCAAATCTATACATAGGTTATGTAATTTTGTCAGACGAAAATTATTTTAAACCAGAAAAAAACGAAACCGGAACCATTTCAATCCTATCCAAACCAGATTCGATTTATCTAACCGCAATTTGAAGAGCAGAGCAGATCTACAGCCATGTACTTGCCAAAAAAAAAATGCTATACAGAGTTATTATTATAACTTTTCAGACAATAATTGTAGACATTTAGAAAAATGTCCAAATAAAGGACAAGGGCGGTGACTTAGAACTACACATGTTCTAATCTTGTTCATTGTTTGTTTTAAAACATTAGGCATCATGGCTTTTTTGTAGCTCATACTGAGAAAATAAGAAAGAATGTTGTTCATCGCAAATAAAGAGAAGGGAGAAGATTTTTTTTTCTATGTCTTTTGGTTTTTATATGAAAGCTGAGAAAGAGTAGCTGCTGCCTATTTCTCGTGCACGAGAGGACTGTAAATTGGGAACCACATGTTCCTTGTGATGTAATCCACTGTCTCCTCCTGTTTGATTCAAAAACAAAAAAAAACAAAAAGATGCAATTAGATTCAAACTTCTACTAGTACTTCATGTTTTGATACAAATCACAATTGTTTGATACCTTAGACATGTGACTGAGATCTCTTGGACCAACATCCCCATGTCCTTCTACTATGTCGTCAGCAACCGCAGCTCTTAGAACAGCCGCACCAACCTCAGCTGTTATGTGTCGGATGCTGCAATTTTATTTGTTCAAAAACCAATTACATTAGTATAACCTGTTTTTAGATATCAAACAAAATCAATGGATAAGAAAGAGAAGAAACAATACTTGTTGATTGAAGGGTAAAGGATGCCTTTTTGGACTTCTTCGTCAGTCATGTAAGACGCAAGGCTGCGTTATATATTTGAAAATACATATAGTAATCGTCAGCCTCACTGAATCATAAGATAAAAGTGAACAAAATGCAATCTTCTTACCATTCAGCAGCTGCTAGCAGCATTCCATCAGTTACAATACGTGCACCAGACAGAAGAGTCCCTAACCCGATCCTGTAGACGATAATGATTTGAACTAATACTTAAAATGGATTAAAATGTGATTCATCGAAAACAGTTTTCAAGAACGAAAACGAACCCTGGGAATAGGTACATGTTGTTCGCCTGATTCACATGCCCAGTATTACCATTCTCTGCAAGTTTTAAAAAACAATATGAATATAGATTTTAACCAATTAGAGTTACAAAATCCGTAAATGAAACTAACTATAACATACCAAGTTGAACGTTTTCAAATGGGCTTCCGCTTCCAAAGACTATGTGTTCTCCAGCGTGCTTAAATGCATCAGCAGCAGTGCACTCGGCTGTCACACAAAGAAGAAGTCTTCAGTAAACAGATCTTTCACGTTATTTTGTGAACAATGAAACACTACAAACCATTTAAGGTGGGATTAGACATAGCAAAAATGGCAGGCTTGCATGAATCAGATTCTCGCATTGCCTTGAGAACCTTTGCACAATTGAAACAAGTAAACGATACAAGTCAGTAAAACTGTTAATCAATATACAGTGAAAATATATGTTTGTTGAAATTAGGTTCACCTACTTCTTCATTGAAGATGCCACCAACTCCAGATAAACCAAGAAGCACATGTGGCCTCACTGTCTTCACCTGAACAAATATGTAAACAAGGAAAGCATGACAATATTATAAAGTCACAACATGTGGACAGTTGTAGAGAAAGAACATGAAGTCAAATAATTGAGCTAGTCAAGAATATAATAAGTCTTAAGCTTTACCACTTCAACGATACTTGCTCCCTCACGTATCTCAGCTGGATTTTTGGCAAAAGGTACAGCAGCTGGGTCAAGTTTTGACCTCTCCGTGGTGACGAGACCCTATAGCACAATCAGTCATTGTCATTGCATTATTATTCAAGATCTTATGAGGCAATCAGATGAAGAAAACAATATGCTGACCAAGACAAAATAAGTATGGAAAATGGATAACTTCTTAAAATGTTTTTGACTTCTTCTATGTAAGCTCTTAGTAAATATAGCTTAAACAACACCCAAAAGCCAGTAATATGACAGTTTCAAAGTCAACAGAAACTCGTGGAACTACACAAGCTAAATTATTTATTACCAATCAAGACAAAACCATTCAGATAAAGTCAAGTAAGGGATGACAGAGACATACATCTTTATCTATCAGGTAAAAGTTTTTCGTTGCTTCAGCGAAGCTGATGCCTGCCATTCTTGCAACTGCCTGTACTGCCGTCTTAGTTACACCGAGCCCGGCACTGAAAGGAACAGAGGAAACAAACAATACGAAGATGAGATGAAAGTAACTCAAAAATGCATTAGTAAAAGAATTCTCAAGTGGATAACCAAGTACCTTCCAGCTCCAACCACAACAATCTTTTGGTTCACAAAGTCGGACAAAGGCCGACCTTGGGCTCTTACAGTTCCCAATAGTCCAGCCAGAGCAACACCAGCAGTTCCCTGAGAGATCATACACCCACCTTGTTGTTAAAAAGTTATACAGCTATAGAGTAAAAGCAGCTGAAGTGAAATGATGAGAACATACTTGGACATCATCATTGAACATGCAAAACTTCTTGCGATATCTTTCCAAAGTTTCAAAAGCCCATTTCGCTTGGAAATCTTCGAACTATTATGTGGAAACAGCCATTTAGTCATCCCCACCACAGCCAAAAGGCAATATCCAAAGTAGAAACTAAGATATAAAATACCTGTACGACGGCCTTAGGCCAACGTGTGAATGCAGCTTCCATAAATTCATCAACAATCTCAAGATACTCCTCTCCTTCCAACCGAGGTTGTCTGAGTCCTAAATCTGTAAAACCAAGAAGATACATGAATAAAGCGTCATAGGAAACACATCCATACACTAATAAAAGTAGCTTACAGAGAGGATTCTGTAGGAGTTTTTGATTATTCGTGCCCACATCCAACATAATTGGCAAAACCTGAATAACAAACAAGGGTATAATTTTCGAATAAGGACATAAAACCTTTTGTACACAAACAGATCATGTCAAGATGGGACACATACTCTCTGTGGATTGATTCCTGCAGCAGCCACATACATGTCGAGCTTTCCAATAGGAATCCCAATACCCTGGACTCCAAGATCTCCTAAGCCAAGGATACGGCTACCATCAGTGATGACAATCATATCAACCTGTTGAGCAGGCCAGTTATAGATCATAGACATCATCTCTCCTTTGTCTTTGGCACTGAAGTACATTCCTCGCGGTCTTCTATACAAACCGGAATAGTTCTGACAAACCAGTCCAACCGTTGGTGTGTATATGATTGGCGCAAAGTCTTTGATGTTATCTATAAGGACCTGCAGAGAACAAGAGTTAGTCATGTCACAGGGGGGTAATAAAAAAGAGAAGCTTTGAACTCACTCTGTAGTAGAGAGTCTCGTTACGGTCATGCAACCTATTGAGAATCCTCCACTTTGCTAATGACACAACGTTGTCTGGCTGCCCTTGTGTGTTCCTCTCCAGGGAACGAAACGACTCAACTGCAAATATGTTTATACAAACAAGTCTCAGAAAATGCATAGTGAATCTATGCAGATGGATCCATGAGACTTACTGAAACGAGCATATTGTTGCTCAAAGGAGATAACACGAGGAGGAAGCAATCCTCGTAGACCCAATCTATCTCTCTCAGTCAAAGGAAAACCTGTGTCCTGTACAAAACATGAACCCACCAAAATGAAACAGAGGATTATGAGTGGACTAGATTTCTACACTCGGTTCCCTAGAGATTCAGCATTATAAGTTAATCAAATAAAGGGAATAGATCAGAGAAATAAGACAAGTGAGAAACCTTGTTAAACCATGGATCGTGAAGGATATCGGCACCACGCTTGTGAACGATGCAAGGACCAGGAATCGCCGTCGACAAGCATCTCCGAGATCCGTGTGTTCTTGCCACCGCCTTGGAGAAGCCAGCAATGTTCCTCCACATCATCTTACACTCAAGATCCGACCAATTCAAAAACCACAGGTACAGAATTTGCAAACCGGAATTTGATGATTTGACAAGTTAAACCGTAATATTAGTCAAAACTTTAAGTATACACAACAGCTTAAGCTTTGATCTCTTGTTCTTCTTCCTCTTCCAAGTGAGGAATGAATATAAGAGAGGAAGCTGTCTGAGGAAGAGGGAAGATGTCTGAATACCTGCCCGAGGATTAGTAAAAAGCAAAAAGGGTCAGCCAATTAATTAACGCATTTATTAATTTGTTTACTTTTTTGTCCCTTATTTTAATTTCTCGAAAAGAAACATTGAAAAAGAAATTAGTGTAAAGTCAAAAAAAGCAAGAAAGGGAAATTAATTTAATGTTGCCCGAAGGAAGATTGGGCAATAAGGGTATAAACGGAAACGCGGTTCTGCATTATTTTCCTCGCATATTAGAGAGGTCAAAGGACATTGACTAACTCACCGTTAGACTATTGACACGTGTTTCAGTGTTGTTCTATTTCCAGTTTTACCCATGCGTGTACCTCTGGTAACAAAATATTACGTCTTCCTAAATTAAAAAAAAATATCGAAGAAGAAAAGGAAAGAAAAGAATTATTCAAGCATTTTTAAAGAGAACCATCCATTAAAAATTATATTCGATGTGGCGACTTGAAATCGTCAGCTTTTAACTCGAACCATTGCTTCTCTGCTCTTACTTTCTTCTTCTACCGTTCTTGACTTTGAATCGAATAACAAGTCCTACCATTAATTATTTTGGTAGATCTACAAAGATAACTTACAGGTTGTTTATTCCCTCGACAACTTCGATTTACATCACAAGTTCACCAACCAAAAACACGATTTCAAAGGTTTTAAAATAACTAGTCGGAAAAACATGTGCAGACTATATTATATTATAGATATTTAAAGTAGATATATTATTTTATACTATGTTCTTTTTAATGAAAGATGTATTGTGTCAATGTTTAATGGCCTAAACACAATATGCCACAGAACATAAGAATAAAGATCATCCACAGAAGGATAGAACATAAAAATGCAAATTCAAGCTATTCGGCATTTTGGTAAAATCACCATCACCTATCTTTAAAATGAAGATTCTTAAAGCATTATTCCGAAAATTGGTTAAAAGTAAATCGCGTAACGATGTTCGAAAACCCATGGATAAAACCTGATCCTGATCAAATTGGGTTTATGGAAAAAACATGAAGTGTCTTAATATGGGAAGATTCCATGTGTTGTTCTAACATGGCAAGGCAAAGACAAGAGTATTATTATGGTCACAATAGTGTGAAGGATCATCTAGAAGGGGCTCACATTGTCGTCTGCAAAATAAGAGACCAATCAAAAGAGTTTTGTCTCAAAAGCAAGGAAAACGCATTTTAATGCTCTTTTTCGTAATCGTCCTTGGTTCCAAAGTTCTTGCACCAAATCTGTGAAGGAATTGGGCGTACGGGCATGTGCGGCCTTTGCTGTAATAAAAACAACCAAGTTTTCTTAAGTCCTGATCATCAAACAAGAGAATGGAACATATCGAGTAGTATGGAAATACACAATATATATATATATATATATATATATATAAGTGGTAGATCCTTGTAACAATAGACTTGAATCAAGCATCATCAGGCTTCCAAAAATAAAATCCATGGATCATTTGCACCCAAACAACTCTTTGAACCATATTTGATGCAAACTTAAGTTGCAGGAGTATAAGAATATAAGATTTCAAAGAAGAACTACAGCAATAGAAATCAATCAATAAAATCTCCCAACACACAAAAAAAAATATATACAACTTAAGTAGCATGGCAATGGGGGCACAAGGTCACAGGAAAACATCAACAAATAGGTTACCAACCATTTGCAAATATTCTACAAAACATAAAACAAATAGCTCTAGCTAGGAGGAGAAGGTTTTTGATCTTACTTCCACCACGTTTAGTAATGTTCTTGTGAAATACATAAACCAAAGCTAACTAATACAACAATGGATTGCTCAGAAACATCAAAACATGCATGTATTGAAGAATATGTACTGATAAGCTACAAAAGTTCATCGAAGATAATCAAGTGCAAATATTCTCTAGAAAAAATGAATTGGAAAAGGCGAAAATAAAACTATCCACACATACAGCGATACTAATACATAAGACCAAGAGAAGTATAGTTTTGCAGGATCAAATGAGGAATAATACCTCGAGCTCGGCAGACTTCATGGCAATGGGGATGCAGACAAGGAAAACGCCGAGCATTGCAAAGGCGGTGTTCCGACGCCAGTGCTTGGGCCTACAGTAAGGCCCACCAGACATACTCCATACCTTGGCTCTGAAATCGCCACCTTCTCCTCCAGCTCCTCCCATTTTTTTTTCTTAGATTGGATCCGGTCGATTCACTAAAAATAAAGATTCCTTTTCCTAATTCAATAACGAAGATTATCAGATCGATTAGTGACATCAAATAAAAAATGCAAAACCCTAGCCCGCTAACAGCAAATTACAAGCGAAAATGATAACAGATTCTCCCAGTTAAGTAATATAATAGCATGAGTACTCGTGGCCAGAGATCGGGACTTTACCTTAGCCAAATCACAAGGATCGCAAACAACGAAGACGATGAGACTTCTTCTAAAGAGTGTATGTAAGAGGGTGAGATTTTGGCATTTGACGTCTATTGCCCCTCCCCTCGAATCCTTACGTGTTGTTTCTCGTAATTTCGGGAGTACCCAATGGGCATTAAGGTCTTTTAGTCACCAAAGAAAAAATGAATTTAAACAGCAGGATGTTCACATGTATCACTAGAACGGGTAGCAGTTTCTTCCCTTAAGAGAAACGCACTGGATCTTCGAAAACGCCACGATGTTTAAATCTCTAATTCATGAACGATATATTTCTATATCAAGGTTCTTGTATCAGTTTCCCGAAAGGTTTTTCGCGTGAAGAAGAAGATGGCTTGCGACGATCAAAGCCGGCGGTTTTTCGTGGCGGTTCACGTCGGTGCCGGATACCACGCGGCGTCTAACGAGAAAGCTCTAAGATCCGTCATCAGACGTGCTTGCTTAGCCGCCTCCACTATACTTCGCCAGGTCTTTACTCCACTTGTCTTTACACAGTCACTTCCATTTCGAATGATGTTGTTGTGATCTTCTTTGCTGTTTAATTTAGGATTGTGGTGGGTGCATAGATGCTGTTTCAGCCGCCATTCAAGTCCTCGAGGTACTTGGTTCTTGATCCTAGCAAAGAAACAACTCTCTACATGTGTCAGCAGGGCCGGCCGTGAGATGTTGGGGGCATGTGGCGATTTCTATTGAAATTTTTTTTCGGGCTGGGGCCTAAATATTTTTTTAGGGGTTTATAGTCATGTAATTTTCTTCAAAATTTTTGGGGGCGTGAGGCAAATGTTTTACTAGGCATTCTCAGGGTCAGCCCCTGATGTATGCTTCTTACTATGTGAATGTTAGGATGATCCGAGCACAAATGCTGGTAGAGGCTCTAATCTGACAGAAGATGGTCATGTGGAATGTGATGCTAGTCTCATGGATGGTCATTCTGGTATCTTTGGTGCTGTTGGTGCTGTTCCAGGTAGCTCTTATCTAAACCTTCTTCTTTGTAACTTGTGTATCAACATTACAGTCTTTATCGAATTGCTGAATATTTTGGAATATGAACTGTAGATCAGGTGTCAGAAATGCCATCAAGATTGCTGCTTTGTTGGTGAAGGAGCAGATGAGTGGCTCAAGCTTATTAGGCCGTATTCCTCCTATGTAACCAATTACCCTTGTTTTTTTTCTAATATCACAAGTTACCTTTGAATATGTTTCATCAAGCATTGATCTTTCTGATCTGCCTCCTTAGGATGTTGGTTGGTGAAGGAGCTCGACGTTGGGCCCAATCCAAACATGTTGTCTTGCCTGAAACGGTCACAGAAGCTGACCAGGTTGAGATTTCCACATTCTCTCGAATTTACTGGTTTTTATATTTCTTGAGAATAATCTGTATTCGTATGTTGAAATAGTGGCTGGTTACAGAGAGAGCAAGAAATCAGTGGAGAAAGTTTAAGAATATGCTTTCAGCGGTAGAGGCAAAGAATAACCTTTCTTCTGGAGAACGACGAAGAGAAACTGAGAAGAATGGAACTTGTGAGGAAAGACCTTTACCGTGCGCAGCAGTAGATGAAGATAAGATCATGGATACTGTTGGCGTTATTTGTGTTGATAGTGAAGGACGTATTGCTTGTGGATCCTCAAGTGGTGGTATTGCAATGAAGGTAACAACGATCACTTCCTAGTTGTCTTCAGGAGAAGAAAAAAAAAACTGATTGTCATGTCATGATATTGCATTTCAGATTAGTGGGCGCGTAGGTCTAGCAGCAACTTACGGTTCTGGTTGTTGGGCATCCTCTAAAGGACTCTTTGGAGCTCCATTTATAGTTGGTTGTTGTGTGTCTGGAGCTGGAGAGTATCTTATGAGAGGATTTGCGGCTAGGGAATGTTGTACTTCGTTATCACTGTATATTTCCCTAAAACCCTTCTTAATGGTTATGCTCTTTGTTGGTTTGGGTTTGCATTTCTGTATCAGAGCTTAAGGAAATGTTTGTTATGTTCTTAGTTCACAGGCTGGTCCAGCATCTGCCGCCATGAAGGTTTTACGTTCTGTCATGCAGCAAGAGGGCTCAGAGAGTGGAGTTACTGACAAAACTGGTGGAATTCTAGTAGTTCAAGCAGATACTTCTGTAGCTGTAAGCCCAAGAATTAGAATAACCTTCTTAGTTTTTCCCCTTATTTTTGATTCGTAATCTTAACTTTTGGCTGTTCTGATTTCACTCAAGGTCCCTGGAGATAGGCCGGAGCTAAATTCTGTGGAGATAGCTGCTGCGTACTCGTCACTGTCTTTTGGCATAGGATACTATGGGAACTCGACAACTAAGCCAAAGGTTTGGCATTTTCTTTTATAGATAACAACAAAAACATATCATGGTTAATGGTGGAGTTTGAAATCTAATTCTAGGACCATTGGTTATGTTGTTGTTTCCTTGAATAGATTTCGATTCTCAGGAAGAAGAGAGGGGAGAATGAAGGTGGAATAGATCATTTTGAAGCCGGGATTGATCTCCGTACAAGCTGTTTCTGATTCATTCTGTAGGACAACTTAAGCAGCTGTGTTGAGTAAAGTTTAAGAATTTGTAACATGGGGACAGCACCCTTTCAATATGTCATAATAGTCTATGTTTGACATCCACCAAAAAATTATAAAGTTTTGGGAAAATTATGTATGTCAAAGACAGACACAAAAGCAAGAAGCAGTCTGGTTTTGGAGGTCATTTTCCTCCATTTAAGAAAAAACATGTTTAGCTAATTAGCTTCATACAACCAAAAAAAGTCATCTTATAAAAGACCAAACTATTGTATCCAAAAAAAAAAGCCTTAGTTAACAGCAAAAGGAAAACCATCAATGTTCCCAAAAAATCACTCGAAGTTGTGAATTCTCTTGGCCGATATTAAGGTATTGGACAGAAGCATAGCTATGGTCATTGGTCCTACACCACCAGGAACAGGTGTGATGGCTGATGCAACTTGGCAAGCCTCCTCATAACATACGTCTCCTACCAAACGATAACCACGTGGAGCATTTGGATCCTGCAAATTTACATTATATGAATGTCAGTCAAACACTTAAACAATCCATTACAATTCCATTACGAATGTCCATATTGTCCACTTACGTCGACAGGATTAATCCCAACATCAATAATGACTGCTCCCGGTTTTATCCAGCTTCCTCTAACCATGTTTGGTTGTCCAACCGCTGCAATTATAATATCAGCTTCTCGTGTAATCTCTTCAGGGTTCTTGGTTCTTGAATGGATAATGGAAACAGTTGCATCCTCTCTCTACACAAAGTAGCTGACAACTAATTATCAAATGTTATAGTGAAAACAAATGGAATTATTATTCTTCTAAAATGTATTATCATTACCTGAAGTAAGAGAGCAGCTGGCATACCAACAATGTTACTCCTTCCGATAACAACAGCTCTTTTCCCTTTGATCTCAACCTTGTATCTATGCAACAGCTCGATACACCCCTTAGGAGTACACGGAACGAACAACGGCTCTCTACCACGCATGGCAAGTCGTCCAATATTCAACGGGTGGAACCCATCAACATCCTTCTCTATACTAACCGCATTCAAAATGTTCTGCTCATCCATGTGCTACACATATATACACATAATAACATTAAAAACTCTGCTGTAAAACAAGATATGAAAAAAGGAAGTTTCTCCTGAAAATACCGAAGGTAGAGGCAACTGAACAAGGATTCCATGAACAGAAGGGTCATCGTTGAAGCAAGAGATGGATTTCAACACTTGTTCTTCAGAGCAATCTTCAGCTAAACGAACTTCTATCGATTTGATTCCAACGGATTCACAAGCTTTCTTCTTGTTCCTCACATAAGTTGCCGAATCTTTCCTGTCTCCAACAAGAATCACAGCTAATCCAGGAACCACACCGATAGATTCCTTCATCCTCGTAACATCGATTGTGATCTCATCTCTAATAGTTTTCGCCACAGCCTTTCCATCAACTACCAAAAACCAAATCAAAATTTTACCAATATTTTTATTACAGAACAAAACCAAACTCAAATTTTTTTTCAGACAATAACGGTAATGAAATTTCCAAATTTCTAACTCAAAGATTTCGCCAAATCCTTTCCATCAACTACCAAACCAAATCAAATTTTACGAATTTTTTTATTACAGAACAAAACCGAACTCAATTCTCTCAGACAATAACGGTAATGAAATTTCCAAATTTCTACTTAAAGATTTCGCCACAGCCTTTCCATCAACTACCAAAAACCAAATCAAATTTTACGATTTTTTATTACAGAACAAAACCAAACTCAATTTTCTCAGACAATAACGGTAATGAAATTTCCAAATTTCTAACTCAAAAAGATATATACCTGAAGTTGCAGAAGAAGAACAGCGGATGGAGAGAGAGCAGCCACGGGGAGACGCGGTGCTACGTAGGCGGAGCTGGCCGACGTGCTGACGGAAGAGGATAGCGCCGCTGCTGCGAGCGTTCACGTGAATGAGACGTGAAGAAATGGAGGAGGAGCAATCGGTGAACATCAAGGAAGCCATTTTATTACCGGCCAAAGAGAATAGTTGTCTGCTCGTCGTGGCTCCGAACTTAGGGCTTTAGAGAGGTGAGGGGAGAAGATTTAAGGGACTAGTGAGAGCACTTTGCGTTTTTTTTTGTTGTTGTTGTAATTTTCTGATTATTTCATTGCCGGCCGTAACATATATAAATAGCTAGGGTTGCTAAGCCAGGTATATTATTTTATTCTTAGGAGTTTTAAAAAGTGGCTTAAAAGTGCATTGCTAATTAAAAGATGATAATGAGAAATTTTTATTTATATTTTCATTTGAAATTTCTTATTCATTCTATTTTTTTAAAAAAAATCTTTGTACACTGTACTTATTATATAGAAATAAATTTTAAAACTCACTCAGTATTGTCTTTTTATTTATATAAAATTAAAATTTTACTTGTTTAATATTTAGTTATGTGTTTTTTTTTGTTTTTAAGTTTTTATTTTTTTTATTAAAAGATTTTTTCAGATAATGAAACAATATATATAAGAATTATATTTTTTAATATTTTAGATTTTGGAAAGAAAATATTATTAATCATTTATGTATAAAAAATTGTTTTTATTTTATGGTTATTTTATATATTTTATTCATTAAAAGTATAAGTGATATTAACCACTTTAACTTTTAATTCAAATTTATTCTCTTTTCAATTACAAAATTAAGAATTTTATTTAATTAATATTTAGTTATGTGTTTTCTGTTTTAAAAATTTTAGTGAATAAAATCTATAAAATAACTTTTGTTTGATAAAGAAAGGTGTTAATAGAAAGTCGTTCAGCTCTGCATGCAGAGATGAAAGGTCTACTCTGGATAGTCTCATGTTTGAGAGACTTGCGGATCAATTCGGTGAGGATTGAGACGGACTGCGCGGACCTAGTAGACATGTCTACTAATTCGGAGGAATGAACAACCTTTACAATAGAGATTGAGAGGCTTAAGAGACTACATGAGGACTTTGAGGATATG